AGAGGCAGATGATTCATAAAGTAAATAGACGAGTAAGCATCTAAATGCACAGCAAGGTGGTTGGTGATTACAATTCACACCTGCAATATTGACATATAACTATTGTGCTCAGAGCAATCAACAAATTATATTGCATGATTTAGAAGTCCAAGGTTACAACAAATGGTTACTATCCTACAAAATCACAATTGTGTGTGTGGTTTCTAATTGATTGAGATTGCATTATACTTCTCCAACATTGAATTGGATGTTGCTGGTGACAAAGTTGGCCCACTTTATTACGTGTCCAAAAAGTAGACCCCCATCATGAGTGGTTTTTGTTGGATGTAATATAAAGTCTTCAACCTGGATTCCAACTGTAATAAATAAACAAACAAATAAATAAATAAATAAGTAAAGAAATAAATGTGTTGACTTGCTGCTCCTCTGAGTTGGTCAAGCCAGTAGCTCCATGAACTTGCACGAATTCCACAAGCATGAGATTGTGTGTGTGGAATTGCTCCTGCTAGAATTTATGTGTAAGTTTGGCTCACAATGTTTCCTGCACTTGAACTTTTCCTACATTTTGCATGGGTGCAAAAACTAGCTCTGTTGCATGAAAACAAAACCTCCTACACTTGATTGAGATAAAAAAAACTATTGCAATACTATGTGCTCATGGGTGCAGCAAGAGCAGCACCTCCACATGCAGCATGCACAAGATCCATCAGCATCATTATATTAAACAAACAAACAAATAAATAAATAAAACTAAAAAAATGCCTCTATATACATCTGTATAAAGATATGAGAGGGTGTGTGTGTGCGGAATGTGCATGCAACCTTGCTACTTTGTTTCTATTGAGGTGTCTTCAAGGTTCCACGTAGGTCAAAGAGTGTGATAAATGCAGACAACCTGAAGGATGATGCAATTGGAAACTTTGGCCAGTCTAGCCATAGTGGATGATCAAGTGGACTTGGACAAACAAGTCAACGAAGACATGGGACCTGCCCACAAAAAAAAATTCTACAACCCATAGATGATGATAAGTACCTACCCAGTTCAAGGCAACTTTACATGCCTGCTACAGCGTTGAAAATAAGTATGAAAAGAATTAACAAAATATTGGTGTTGATAACAAGTGACAACATATATAATGATGGAAAACGCCAAAATATGGTGGCAAGTTGTGGTACCCAAAGCATATCCTGTGTTGATGTGAACCATGGTTCAGGATTTTCATATCTTCATGAGAAGTCTGTGCAAGTATGGAATCAAAACTTTTTGATGGTGGTTTGAATACAGTTTGCTTGAAGAAAATAGAAGTAGAATTTGAACATAAAAAAATAAAAGCATAGGAATTGGTGGGGTTTGATTACATGTTTTCAGCATATATGCTGAATTTGTTGAAAACATATTATTCTCCTTTAAAAATAAATCCTTTTAATTTAGAATTTTATTTACAAAAATTAATGAGAAAATATTTATAAATGGAATTCTAAACGTCAGGTTTGGTTCTTAAAACCCCAAATAATGAATTAATTCATTTTTTGATGTGCACTTTATGTGGATTGTACATGGCTTATTCAACCATGTCTTTACTCTTGTTTTTATAGTAACTTTCAAAATAATTTGGAATTTTTAAGAATATTGTGTTGGTTTCAAAAGGACAAATAATGGATTGTTACTATGATTATGCTGTTTTCTTTGTTAACAGTCTATTTTTTAAAAACAAATTGACATATACATAGGTCAAGTTAATGGGTTTATATATATATATATATATATATAGATTTAAAATGAATCACTATCACCATTTTTTTTTTTTTTTTTTTTTTTTTTTCTTTAAGAACTACCACAAATAATTTGATAACAAGTTTTCATACTCATCTTAAAATATATATGTAAGATTTTAAAAAATAAAATTTTAAAGTAACAAATTATTCTTTAATCATCACCTTCATTCAAAATTTAATTTCATTGTAGAACATAAAATTGAAATGTTTTTTTTTACAAATGACTAAAGACGATTGAATTTTTTAGTAAAATGCATGGTTATGAGTTCAACATAACCAAACAATATTTCAATTTATTTTTTTATTTAATACTTTTCAAAAAAATTACATAAAAAATACAGTCAAGAGTTTTGCCAATAAAAGCTCCAAATCTTATCTTTTTCTTTTCATTAATAGACTGTTACAAAGCATGCTCCAATGATTAAATAAAAATCATTTTTCCATTATATGACATTGTAGTTGAAAGGTTTTTAAATGATTAATGGAAGCAGATATCCCGTGTATCCAATTATTTTGCAAGCATTGTTTTCAATTATAATACTTAAAATTGTTTTTGGTGTTATATTCTATGAGAGAATATTCTATAGTTACTCCTATATTGTTGTGTACAACTTAGTTTGAAAATCGTTTGAGAAAATAAATTAATTAATAATCAGTTCAATATTTTCAACCTTCAACTTTGTACAAGCACTTAACAGATAAAAGAAGGTGTTTTCTAACAACAAATATGATCATGCTTGAATATTTCTTTCTAACAATTATAGGATAATAGTTTTGAGCCTGTAAAGTCAAACCTAGTTACAATTAGTGTAATTTGGCACTGAAGTCAAAGGAGCTTTGAGTTTTAGGCTTGACAATGTTTTGATGATTTGGATTATGATATAAATAGAAATGAATCATTGATGTATATTGTTAACAGTGGTTACTGTTTAAAGAGATGTATGGAATATATATAAGTATAAATAGATGACTTCATAATTTAACAGTTATTTTCATAATCTATATCATTCAGTTGTGTAAACATGAAAAAAACTAAAATACACATATTTCTATTTATTTGAAATTGTCGCCAAGAGAAGACGTAGAGTCCAAAGATTACAGAACACTTTAAGTGACTTAATAGAAATCAGTAAACTGAAAATTTGAAATTTTCTATTACCATCGAATGTTTTCCAAAAAATATATTTTATGCCAAAAATATTAAGTAACAGCCCAAACATGTTTTTTAAAATAAGAATCTGATAATTGTATTTATGATTATGAAAGGATTATTTGTTTTGAAATCCTTCATGGAATCATTTTATCTTTAGATGTATTCATTCTCAGAGCTTCCAATAATATATATATACACTCACACATTCATATATAAAATTATATGAAGAAACTGTGTATTTTTACATGGTACTAAAAAGTAAACTGAAACCATCTATATTTCTATTAAAAGCCACCAAGATTCTTGTGATCTTAGACTTTTTAGATCTCAAAATTACTTGTATAATTGATTTTAGTATATCATACTTGATTCTGGGATGTTTAAGTTTAATTGTTCTTTTCGGGGTTCTTAAAAGTAACTTGCATATAGAAGCTTTGAGTCATTTTTTTAGAACATTATCAATTTTGCTTACACATTTGATTGAGGTTCATATTTAATATATTGGTTTCAAATTAAAATGTCATGAAAATTTTAAATTTTAAGTAAACCGAAATTATTGAATGTGTTTTGGAATTTATATGTTTAATAATTGTCAAGCAATTGTACTAACGCATCTACTTTTACTAAGAAGACATTTATTAAGAAAGCATGTTGATAATAGCAAAATTCACATCGTATAGGCATTCTCGAATAATTGAATATTATCAAAACTAAACAGGAATTTTTTTCCTTTCAGATAATTTGGCGAAATTATTTTAATGTCTTTACAATTTTAGTTTCCACATACCTTTACTTTTACATTTTTGTTTTTATTGCAATGTTTTTATGCACCATCACACTGGCTTGTTCCTAACGAATTTAGATACATTTGCATACAAACAAAAGTATTAAGATTAAGAAAACATTTCACAAATACTTCTAACATACCAAACATAGTTTTTTAAATTAGTGTAAATTTGCTATTTTTTATTCTTATTCTTAATCTACATATCAATTAAAAAATTATAATATGAATTTTTGTTGGTTTCAATAAATATAATTTTACACGCATATATATACGCATATATATATATATATATATATATATTGTTTGATTGAAGAATTACTTACAACCAACATTTATATATTTCGCTTGAAAAACAACTTGAAAAGGAGTAGCTCACAAAGGACATTTAGTTTAGGCCCATAAAAGTGAAGAAATCACGCCCTTAACCGCGGACACATCGAGGAGCCATCACTAGGGACAGAAAAAACAGTTCTAACCCCGCCCACTGAAGCATCTTCATTCTCGACGATGGCGACAAGGAAATCAACTCCATCGAATCACCGCCTTTCAACGTCGGACTAAATTTCCACACCCCCCACGCTTCGAGTGAAACGCATTGTCAAGTTTTCTTTTTATAATTAATGACAAGCGGGAAAGCATGTGGAGTGATGGGCCGCGCCATTGCACTGTAGTCCTGCCAGGTTCAACCGCCCTTCCCCAGCCCCTAGATTCGCAAAGCAGGCTTCGAATCTCCACCGGGTAATGCGATTCAAAGTGATGGATAGACCGGCAATGGCGGAATCGATGGCCTCACTCACATCCATTTTCAAGTCGCTGCGCTCGTCAAGGAAATTTTCAAAGGAGACGAACTTCGGTGAGAGTTTTCATCCTTTGCGATTTTTTATTTTATTTCCCTGAAAATCAGTCTTGGCCTTTGTTTGTGGAGTTTCACAGGAAAGTGCTGCAGTCATTAATTCGAGTATTCTAGAACCGTCGCCCCTGGCAGCCCTCACCTGCACTCATTCCAGAGCTGTCGCCCCTGGCTGCCCAGATCAGGTTGAAAAAGTTGCCAATAGTCGGCATCCTTCACTATGTGGTGTTGTAACTTTTTTTTCTGAGTCAGCTCGTACGCTGATGCTGCCCCCCAGAATTCGAGATCTGTTGGAAGCACGTGTTTAATTCGCAAGATGGGCGGGGTGTAGAATCCCGGCACAGGAATTGTCAGGTCGAGTTGTTGCTGTGTGGGGGCAGCGGTGACCGGAACCTGCCTGGCGAGTGGGGCATGACCTATTTCCTGACACACGCAGTGATCGTCTTCATTGGAATTACATGCATCGGAAGCGCGGATCGTTGACAATGGAGGCCCTTCGTGGAGGCCCTTCGGTGTCTGCTTAGGAATCTGTGTGCTCTTTTATAGACCTTCGTTGGACTCCTCTCAACCACATATATTCAAAAAACGGATGCCGGCGAGGGATAAGTGCTTACTATCAAGGATTGAATTGCGTCGAGCGACGTTGTGGAGATTGGAGCTTGTTTGGTTTTGAGTCTTGTGAAAGCGATCTGGCAAGAAGTTGACATGGATTGGTGAGGTATGGATGGTGTCAAGCAGTGGAAGGCAGGTCACACCCAGCGTCTTCGAGGATATCTGTAACGGCGGACAGAGGTGGAAGGTCGGATTTGGAACAAGGGGACAAGAAGCAGTAGCTTGACGACAGTTTAGCATATCGTGGTGAAACGAAAGTGAGTGTCGGGGTTTCGAGGTAGCGAAGAAAGTCTTTAGGATGGCACAACTTGCGCTTATGCAGATAAACAAGAAGAGGCGTATGGTGCTAGCGTTGCCTCCCCCTCCAACTCCTTCTGCCAAGACCTTGGTGAAAGCACTGCTCAGCCTAACGAAGGCTGTGGCATCTTGTGGAAAGCCAAAATTCTCCCAGCATAAGAACGCCACCAACTTCATCCGCAGAATTGAGCTTTTGACGACCCTTTTCGAGGAACTTAGGGAGTCTACCCGTCCTATCCCTCCATCTGTTGTGATTGTTTTCCGTGATTTGCACAGTTTGATGCAGAAGGGGTACATGCTGCTCGAAGAGTGCAGAGAAAGCAGTACTTTTTGGTTGCTCATGGAACAAGAGACATATGGGCAGTACTTTCATGAGCTCTCGCAAAGTTTGGGAAAAGCACTTAGTGCCTTACCTTTCGATCTTCTGGATCTGTCGGAGGAAGACTTAGAGCAAATCGCCATGGTGCGTAAGCAAGTGCTTCGGTCTCGCCTCTCTCTGAATCCAGTTGAACTTCAACTGCGTGAAGACCTCATTAGCACGCTGAAACTGATGGAGCTTAAAGTAGCCCCGAATCCGTCTGATCTCATGCAATTCTTCAGCACGATTCAGCTGTTAAACGCCCGGGACTGTGAAACGGAGATCCACAGATTGGAGGAGTTAAAGATGGAAGAAGGAAGGAAGGAAGACTTGAAGACACAGCAAGGGCTTGCTAACTTAGTTGGCTTCGTGCGCTATGGGAAATATGTGCTTTACTCATCCGAATTCGAAGGATTAGATGAAGAAGTTTCTCAAGTTCTCTCAAGAAATTCTGAGGGATCAATTGAGGATTCTACAGATGTTTCGATGGTGACTCCTCCAGCTGAGTTTCTATGTCCTATCACCCTTGACCTCATGCGCGATCCTGTGATCGTTGCAACAGGCCAGACTTATGACAAGACATCCATCACTAGGTGGATTGGGGCAGGAAACTCAACATGTCCCAAGACGGGTCAGAAGCTTGCTCATCAAAATATGATCTGCAATTTTGCCCTCAAAAGTTTGATTTCACTGTGGTGTGAGGAGAACAACGTCCCGTTTGAGATGGACGGAGTCCACAGATCTATTAAGAAAGGTGCTGGTATCCAACATATTGCGCAGGGTGAAGGTGCAGCCCTTGAGGCCATGCAGCTCACTGCCAAGTTCTTGATTCAGAAACTGCACACCGGAAACCAGCACGTGCAAAAGCTAGTTGCCCGCGAGCTTCGACTGCTTTCTAAATCTGGACCTGAGAACAGGATTTGCATCGCAGAAGCTGGAGGCATTTCCATTCTTCTTCCTCTTTTATCATCTTCTGACGCCAAAATTCAAGAGCACGCCGTCACAACTCTCTTGAACATTTCCATCCAGGAGGATATCAAAAAGCAAATCCTTGCGGCCGGTGCGTTGGACGTGATTGTTGATGTGCTGATATCGGGTCACACCATGGAAGCCCGGGAAAATGCCGCTGCAGCATTGTTTTCTCTGTCGGGTAATGACGAGGTGAAGGTTCTGATCGGAGGTAAGTTGGGTGCAATTCCGGCTCTGGTAACCCTCCTTCGTGAAGGGAGCGGACAAAGAGGAAAGAGGGACGCCGCTACCGCGTTGTTCAACTTGGCCGTCTACCACGGCAACAAGGCAAAGATCGTTGAAGCTGGTGCGGTGCCCGCGCTAGTCGTTCTGCTGTCAGATGAATCACCCCTTATGGTAGACGCGTGCGCGGCAGTCCTAGCGCTGCTCGCGACTTTCCCAGAAGGCGTTAATGCCATCCGCGACGCGTCTGCCATCTCTGTGATAGCTCCTCGTCTGCGACATGGGTCACCGAAAGGGCGAGAATATGCCACATCTGTGCTCCTAGCCATGTGCAAAACTCGTGACCGAGTCATCCTCGACGACGTCAGTCAGCATGTGAATACCATCGTCCCAGATCTCTACAACTTGCTCACCACTGGCACGCTGCGGGCTAAGCGCAAAGCTGGCGCTCTTCTCAAGCTCCTTCGATCCTTGGAGGCTTCTGTCTAGGGCAGTCACCCTACTTTTAGAACACGACAGGTTTCTTGTTGGGCCACACAGTGACCAGGGAGTATTCAGAATGTCGTGTTCCTGAGATCCAAGATGTACCAGGGTTCGAACCAAAGCGTTTCTGTAGATAGTTGCTGTTGAATGTCGAATAATCCTACAATCTCTATCATTGTCTTGCACGTCATTCATCACAAACCCTGGAAATCGATCTGGACAATCATGGCGGACTTAACACAGACTCCGAATCAGTCGGCAGAAACGATATCCGGAGTTTCACCTTACCACTTTCGAAAGCAAATTTTGGTAGCCTAGGCACCCATTGTTACAACTGCAGAGTCACGGACATGAATGTCCAGTGTTTGTATTATACATTCTTCACCCACTAATGTTTCAAGGACCTACTTGACAACACACCATTGCATGCTCGGTATCAATGACGCGCTGTCCCTTCATTGATATGTATTCCTAATTCGAAAGTACATCACATGCGTTGGCGCCCATGAGTTGACGCATATGAATGATGTGAAACTTATCGTCGCATTGTTTTACGGATTGCTACTTCTACAATCATCACTTGCGTATCGATGTACGAACTTGAAGTTGAGATTGAGTGGAGTCCCAGAGAATTTGGATTGGGTCATGCTGAATTGTAACGAGGATCCATTGACATCTGATAGATGAGCTTGACAATGGCGTCCGCCTTAACTAGGTTGAACTATCATGAAGGCAAAATCCGGTGGAAGATCCTCTTGCCATTGCACGTTAAGCTGTACACTTGCAAATCCAAATGGCGAACTCAAGTCTGTCAGGAGAAATCGGTTACTCCGGATTGCATGTCGTATAAAGCTTACGATCAATTCTGGTTCAGCGCCGACGATTTTGGATTCAAATGCAGGGAAATCTCATGGGGAAGCTAAAAAGGCAAGCTCGATGCCAATTGTAGACTTGATTGAGGATTGAGCACACCGGATGCTAAAGTGACGAATCTTTTGTTACAGTATTCAATTCGATGGTTTTTAAATAACTGTAAGGAATCTGTTAAACAACATTTATGTATCTTTGAATCTGAAGTACGGAATCTGAACATACTGAGAAGTGTAGATACGATTACAGGAACAGAAAGCGACGCATTAAAATTTTTGGTCATTGTTACTTGATTTAATAGAGTTGTACTGATCTTCAATTTCTAAGTCGAGACGAATTTCTATTGTCAGCATTTTATATCCTGAGAGAATTGTGGAATCCCTTGCTGTCATGGCAAGAAGTTTTTTCATCGAGAAGAGGGCGCGACCCTTCGTCCCACTGTCAGGCCGGATCGCAGCAGCATAACTGTTATTTTGAAGCGGCACTGGCTCTACTCTTGATCGGAACTAGTGGAGCAGCAAAGTCAACATGGACGAAGCAGGGTAGACTTCTGTATTTGAACTTTTAGTCCCCTTCGTCTACTTCGTCAAGTAGGAATTTTTCTAACTCGGCTATGTGTATGATAATGGAAGTTGACGGGGGACGTTGATGCTTTTGAACTGCATGATTCCTTGCTTCCTCGTGCAAGCTTAATTTTTTTCTGGAGGCACGAGAAATGATCCTCTGGATATCGTGTATTAGAACGCCGTGCCTCTATTCAAAGTTTCTGTACTGAAAGATGGTGCTCCCTCTGATTTTAACGGATGGGGAGAGGATCGTTGAAATGAATGGTTATGCCACATGTGACTTTGGAAAGATAGATGAATTTGGAAGTCCCGTTCAGACGTATGTCATGCAGGACGTCGTTTTGATAGGGCCGAGCTCCTCCGTTCGTGTTTTTGCTTTTGTGAATCCGGTCTTCCATAAATTTGTCCACGGATTCCTCCGTCACCAAATGAGTGCGTGCATAACGGTATTGCCCTCCCTTAATAATATAGAAATCCCGTAAAGGTAGAATTTCTACACAAGTCCTACGACTCAATAGAACCAGGCTCTCCACCTATTAGGACATACTCGGCATCAGTGTTTAAGAATGGCATCCAGCTCGAAGAGTTCTCCCGTGATTTGAAGAGCAACTCGACCTGCTCAAAAGACAGTCCCTTCGTCTCCGGTAAATAACAAAGAACAAAGAGAAGCGCTGCCACAGCCAGTCCTGCAAACAGGAGAAATGTCTTCGAGGTCCCCAATGCATCAGTCAAGGACAAGAAAGTCTGTGCAATTACGAAGTTGGAAATCCAATTGGCTGTAGCAGCTATTCCTCCACATACGCCCCTGTCCTGCAACGAATAGATTTCAGAGTTGACTGTCCACGGTACAGGTCCCATCCCCGGAGCAAACGCTAGCAAGTACAGCACTAAACCTAATAATGCAAGCCATCCGTAATCACTGGGGCATCCTCGTGTGAACCACGATCGCGCAAGATTTTGGCATACGTGCCCCGCATTATCCGTATACGTAAAGCAATTTCCTGGTAGCATCTGCAAAACAACATATAACGCTTCGATTATCAAGCCTAAACAGTGGATCAGCACGAGCAGCACTAACACGTTGATACATGCTACACCATATCTGCAAACACCATATTTCACGAGAAAATTCACTTGAGGCAACAATGAATGGCACCTCGTCCTTTGCAGCTGCACAGAAGCCACAATTTGCTTGCAAGCAACCTGTGCATGTTGGTGGAAATTCGAACGTCGACGCATTGCCAGAATAAGGGAAAGCAGGACATGTGATATCAGCCTTGTCAGGATGCGCTGCCCAACTGATATTAGGTGAGCTAGAACTGGTAAGATGAAAAGCTACTGAAAGCAAACAAAGCGCTGAAATCACTCCCACCAAGCTAAGAATCGCCAGCCGTCTCCTTCCACATCGATCAATAAGGAAGATGCCTGCAACGGTGCCGATGGCGTTCATTGCTGCAACACCGGCAGAGAGTAATAGTGCAGTTTCGTGTGATGCATACCCTGCGAATTCTATAATGGAAGGGCTGTAGTACATTACTGTGTTTATACCTACCAGCTGCTGGAAAACCTGCAAGTGGTGAAGCCATCAATAGAAAGTTTATTCAATATATGATGACGCTCGTCTTCATGAATGCAACATGTTCCGGGACATGAACACAATGAACATGTGAAAACATTAATGCACTCGTTTATGAAGACCAGCAAGCTTAATACTCCAGATATGAAAAAACTACATCAGCATCCATATTGTATCCATGAATGACTCAGACTTGAGTTAAGAGAGTAACGCTAGTGATTGCTTACCTGCATACCTACACCTGCAGTAAGAGCCATACGTTTCCTCTTGGTGACAAGGATATCACGAAAATTTATTCCCTGAGCTTGAGGGTTGTCTTCATGATGCCACTCTGAAGCGGCGGCTGCCACTTCATCATATGCTGCAATGCCTTCGCCACTAGGATACAACCTCTTCAACACAGAAACTGCTTCATCGAATCTTTTCTGAAATGCGTCACAACAGGTTATTAGAAGGGACTAGAGGAGCTGTTGAAAGAAACAAGTTGTATTCTCCAAATCTTCTGAAGTAAGAATCATCAGCGAGTTATTATTCGAAAGAGCTTCACAAAAATCCTTGACTTGGCAAAGAGATTAGACCAGGTTCGTAACAGACATAAGTGGATTAGTTGAGCTACGAAAAAGAGCAATACCTGACGAACATACCATCGAGGGGATTCGGGCAGAAAACAGAAGAGAACTGCTTGCAACACCGCTGGGACTGCTGCAACGCCCAACATCCAGCGCCAGTTGCCTGGAACCTAGTTGACAGAAAGTTCCATGTGAAACAAATACATTCAACAAATGGTACATGATCAAATCCTTTGACACAGTAGCTCACCTATACCTACAAGAAGATTTGAACTCTGGGTCAAAAGTGTCGTACCTTCGTGAAGCCAAGATTGATAAGGTATGACAAAAATTGGCCGGAAGTTATCATGAGTACGTTAAGAGTGACAAGGCTTCCCCGTATTTTCGGCGGTGAGACCTCTGCTATGTACAAGGGTACTGTCATGGACGTAACTCCAACGCCCAAACCCACTAAGAATCGGCCACAGATCAAGATTCCAGGTCCAGGAGCTGCAGCCATGAGTAAAGCACCGATTGTGAAAATAATATCTGACCCCAGAATGCAGAATCTTCTTCCCAGACGATCATTGAGTAAACCTCCCACTGCAGCGCCCACAACCGCCCCAGCGATGGCCATGCTCACAATTGCCTCCTGCAAGACAGTAGAGGCAAACCGGAAATAAGAAACATACATCATTTGGAATGTGGCATGTATTGGGCTCAACTGTAAGAAGTGGTGACTGCCCAAGAGTACATTTAAATGGGAGTCAAGGATTATACCTGCAAAAAAGAGCTCTTATTTACTGAAGTGAAGTCATCGCGTATGAACAAGAGTGCTCCTGATATGACACCTGAAAATTCATCAGAAGAAAAAAAGTTGTTTCTCAGTAACAATCCAGTGATTCACATTAAATAGCAGCTCAAAAGTCGAAACCTGCATACACCGGTCTGCACAAAGGGCGAAATTGAAAGGTGCAATTGTGGAGCAAAAACTGAAAAGAAAGTCAACTAACAATATCACATTTTGAAAGCAGAAGCTGGAGCTGATCAGGAGCCGAGTAAGCAAGAAAGACAGTTTTAAGGAATTTAATATTCACGGCCAAGAAATTTGATCGTGCAAGCAGTGCTGGACAAGCTTTCAAATCAAAGAGACAAGCCAAATCACCTGTGTCATAGCCGAATAGGAAGCCACCAATACCAGCTGCAAGTGCTAAAAGAAATACGAAGTGCTTCGAAGCTGAAGGTGTACCGATCTGGTTGCCAGTGCCAGATATCAACGCTGACGCCATTTGGGACGAATTCGTGTTATCTCCAGCGAATTTTACTCTCCTTGTACTATTCTTCACCCATGGTTCATCTGGCATTCCGGTCTAACATGCAATGATCTATCCAAAACTTGGCTACTCTAACACCCAAACAAACTTGGTTGTTGTAAACAGGGAAAATTTGAATTACTGCAAATATTTCCCACCAGTTTTTCAACTATTGATTTCTTCCAAATTCTAAAACATTATAATTGCACGTTTGTAGAGAACGTCCCACCTGCAGAAAGTTTCACACTGCTCACAAATGATCTTACTAGAAAATAACCATTTAAGACGCACACAATTGCGTAATCTTATTCATCAGACTATTCAGCAATCGGCATGAAGGAATAAATGTGACAATAGCAACTGTGCTGAAACAAAACCTTAACATATTGCGATCGTTAAACCTTGAGTAGATATGGAACAGCTTCTCTTAACTAACTGACAGGATGAGTTTCACTAATCAAACGGCAAAACAAGAGAGTTGACGAACTACATTTCAAAGAAAAGCTGCTTTGATTAAGCAGATTTTAGCAAATATTGAAAAACAGAGCGCCATACAGTAGGGGTCAGAAACTATCCAAGCAGCAAACATGAGCTAATCCAAACCAAGGTGAAAGTAGCGAGAAATTCTTCCTACATAGCTAAAAACAAACCCCTCCACAATTTTCAACATCGGATCCTCAACCAAGACGAGAATTCCGAATCGATGACCGTTAGAGAATAGAGAGCAGACAACAGAAAACCCACCATTCCAGCAGCTCTGCTGCGTTCACGGAGGCATTCGCGAAATTTGTAGGACTACATTTGTCGAGAACTCCAACCGAAATCTAGGCAACAGATGAATGCGGGAATACCCAACAATCTAGACACAAACATGGGGACCAAATGAGGCGCGACTTCGAATCCGTTCCTCCTCCTCTCCGTCTCTCCCTTTCCCTAGTTGCTAAGAAACTGACTCTACAATCACCGGATATACACTCCAGGTCAGAAAAGGGACAATCCAAGGGGGGAATCCGAGATCCACCCTAAGTTTCCGCTCAAGATCCCGTTGTCGCAGAGGAACCTCTTCTCCTTCCGTGTACTCCACTCTCCGCATCCCACTCCAAAAGACTTAACCCAGTCTCCACAATGATAAATCGTCGATAATCCTAGGCGGATATAACGAAGCTGCAAGAATTTTCACATATTCGGAAGACGCAGTGTGGTTGGGATGAACTATATGAAGCTGGGCAACAAGAGACAACTCGGAGTAGAAAGTCGAACACAAAGTTCTCGTGTCAATGAGCGAGCGATGATCTCCATGACGCATAGTTACGGAATCAAATAGCAAGCATTTGACAGCAAAAAACCCATTTCCCAAGTAGAGGCGTGTGTTCACCCCATTTGTTGCAGCACGTTGGGCCGAGGAAACAGCTCTGCGATGAGCGTACATCTGTTGGCTATGGAGGTGTGGAGGTGAGAGAACTTGGTTTTGCCATGCTGCAAGTGCACTTCAGGAATATTTCAACACATTCATTCTTGTTGCAAGCAAGCAGGCACAGCCTATTACAAGATTGCCATTCTCCATGAAGAGTGTAAACAACAAAAAATGATTTGGAATACATATCATAAAGTTTTAACGTGCATAAGGTAATCCATCCTCTAGGGTAGTATAATACATTACGTATAATACATTACGTGTATCTATTTCAGAGAGCATAACAAGTTATAAGAGTGGAAGATTAGTACAATGAAAAATCATTGTCCAAATAAATTTGCTTGAGATGTATCATGTATCAATGGAAAAAATAGCTTTTGAATGGGCATTTTTATAAGTAGGTTTTTGGTTTTTGTTATTTTTTAATTTGATTTAATTTTTTTGTTAAAGATATTGAATATAAATAATTTAAAATTAAAATTTGAAAGCTTTTTAAATTATTTTTTAAAGTATGATTGATAAGTAAATCAATTAGAAGTGTTAATAATAAAAGAAGCACTTTAATGATGTCAATAAAGTCCAATAATTGTTCATATATTCTTTTTTATTTTTTTGTATGATTTTGATTTGATTTATTTGGTTGCCACATAAATCAACTTTTTTACTTTGTTTTACCTTATAGCAACAAAAAGATGTATTATTTTAGTATAGCCAAATGCAATAGGATGCAATTTTAAGAATTTTCCATACCACTTTCAAAGCTTATTTTATAATAAATAATAATTTTTTTGATGATTTAAATATCTGCATTTTAATGTTATTTCATAATCATTTAAATTAGATATTATTTTTTTTATTCATTTAATAGAAATACAATATTTTATAGCTATTATTTTGTTGAATAAATTCCTATCGGTACTTATAGAGATAAATAACTCAAAATACATAGATTTGAATGTACCAATCTTGTCAATCTTCTTAGTATGGGAAGTGGTATTAGTGATGTTTTGAAAGACATATTTTAATGAAAATAGATTTTAACATAAGATACTCTAGTCTCTATTAGTTTTAAGTATTGTAGAAAAATACTTGTTGTTTAGATTGATTATATATAAATAAGTTAATTGATAATGGTTTGTTAATAATAGATTATATTCTAATTGGTACTCCAATCATAATATAGTAAATTAGTGCTTCTAAAGCCAATTTAGATAGGATACCAATTACATAGTAGAAATATGTTAGTTGCTTTGTAACAATATAAAAACTATGTAGATAGAGATATTTTTTTCAAGTTAAATTATATATGAATTATCAATAGATCTTCTCTAACATAAGTCTTTATATAAGAGTTTTTTTAAAAGATTCTTATATAAAAATTAGATATAGATTTTGTCAAGGACATGAATCTTGAAGAAAGTAAATCCTCAATACACTCTTCTATCATTGAAAAGAACTAAAAAGTCACTCAAAGATGATATAATATTGAACTAGAAAGATTATTGCCAAAAATAAGAAGATTAGAAAGTCTTGAAACAAGACTTAGGACTAAAAAGGCGTTATTAAGAGTGAATAAGACTTCACTCTTGCCTCCATATATATTCTTAATTAGGAGCTACATGATGATGTCCTATATGACCTCCAAAACATGTTGACTTTGCAAGACACATATCTTAGCTTGCAAGACAAGTTTTTTATATGTGCACCATAGAATTAGCTTGTTTTGGAAGCTATCAACATGTGATTAACTTGTTGATCAAGTTTCTAACCTACTAATCAACTACAAATATATATAAAGTCAAAGTAATGTCTATGAAGCTTCTAGGAAGCTTTTCTATAAGGTTTTAAGAAATTAATCTACTTTTATTTTTTACCTACTTCTACTTATTCATATAGATATTTACTAAAGAATATATGTATATCCATGACATTACCCTCCTTCTAGGGTCAAGTTCTATAAAGAGTAATTTTCATATGTTGAGGAAATTTAAGATGCGATGAATTATATTTGCTACATACTTTGATCTTTATTCTTTTTAAAGATAATTAATAGGTCATCTCAGCCATCAATAGTGTCTTATACTAGGGCAAGAAGACCATCTTGTTATTTGGTTGTTATTAAGGCTTTCATAACTTCTTTCAAATGAAACATTTGAAACACTATTAGGAGTTGTTCCTACCTCTAATAAAATCACCACACATTGGAAGTCTCTTCCAAGGTCATAATACTGAATATATTGTATCTTGCCATCTATTCAAAGAAAGACATATCATTTTGAAGATCTTCATCTTGATTTTGTCATCTTGAAGATTGTGACAATTGCAATGTCTCATTTGATAAGTCCGCAAATGAAAGCTTTTGAGTTGAATTTGCTGATTATTGATTCTCCATCTCTTTAGCATCAAAAATACAAAGAAACTACAAAAATGATAGGAGATAGAGTATTATCTTCTTTTGATCTTGTTTCTTTTATAACAAATCTTTGCTATTCTTCATCTTGATTTTGATAGATGTCATCAATAAAAAGCTTCAACTCTCTTTGTTGCATTTGCAAGATTCTTTATTGGCTTTTATGTGTGTTTACTAATATCATATCCATGCCAATGAACAAGATATTCCAACCTATTTCAGCGATGCCTTGAGTCTAAGACTTCTTCTAATTCAAATTCTTGATTATTATCCATTTCTATAGGAAGAAGTGGCATTTGTCTTCTTTTTAAGATATTCATTGTCTTATATGACTCAAGAAGGGGTATGCAAAATACAAGGTAGATCTTCATAGACTCTGATAGATATAATCAATTAGCAATAAGTTTGATTTATTCACTAATAAAAAAAGGTCCAAGCTTACAATAGTTCAACATATCACAACGATGAGTAGTCTTGATATTACAATAAAATAACTATATCTTGTCATCTATATTGAATTGTGGTTGTTTCTTATGATAGGCATTCGCATTAATTTTTTGACGTTTTTGAGCTCTTTTTAACTGTACCTTGAATATTATATGTAGCTTTAACAAACAATTTGTCAAATCTTTCGTCACAGGATTATCATCTTTTAAAAAGTTGAAAGTATCAAGTCATGAATGATAACCATAATTTGCAAAGAAAGGTGTTTGTTGAGTGGGTGAATATGCTAAATTATTATATGCAAACTTTGCCAATGATCAAAGAGTTGTTCAATTATCTTGATGATAGTTGATGGTATACCTCAAGTACTACTCCAAAACTTAATTCATCCGTTTTGTTTGCCTATTAGATTGATGATAAAAAGCCAAAGAAAACTTTATATCCACCTTTAAAATCTTGAATAGGATTCTCCAAAATCTTGATATGTATATATATATATATATATATATATATATATATATATTGAGTCCTTTTATTCAATATAATATCTTTAAGCAATCTGTCATAGTAATGAATGTTGTTAAAAAAAAACTTAGTCATTTCTTCACCTATAATAGATTTTGTATATGGTACAAAATATACCATCTTGGTAAAATGATCTGCTACGATAAATATAGAATTATATAAACTTGAAACTAGAAGATCCATGATAAAATCCATAGGAACAGAAGATCATAATTCTTCTAAAATAGGTAAGGATTGAAGAAATCCATAAGGTCAATGACAAGGAATTTTGGAACTTGAACGAATATCACATGATTGTACAAAGTCTTTGATTGTCTTTCACATTTGAAGCCACCTAAAATCTCTCGATATTAGCTCCAAAGTCTTATTGTATTGAAAATAACTAGCTGATAGAAACTCATGACAAGTTTGAAGAACATATAATCATGTCCCATCTTCTGGAATGTATAATTGTTCCTTGAAATAGAGTAGGTTTTTTTTGAACTTGAACTTGAAAGTATTATGAAATTTAGAAGAATTATTTTTGATATCATAGATAAGAAGATTAGAAGACATACTTGATTGAATTTGCTTGATAAATATTGAATGAATAATCAATATTGATTTTATTGCTCGAAGATGAAAATATTTTAATTTCAAAAAAATTATTCTTTATTGATCAAAAGATGCATCTTCTTCTTTTAGTGCAAGATAAGAACATCTAAAAAGGATGTCTAACAAACCTTGTCATTTTTTGGGTCAATAAATGTTCTTGAAATCAAATCTTGATAAGAACATGCTCCGACAAGCTTGGCAATAATTTAAAATATATGTTGATATGAAATACTTAGATTTCTTATGATTAATATATATGGTGATTGAACTTGAGGTGCTTTCTAAATAATAATATTATTCTTGAAATGAATCCATGATTGCAAGAAGTTCTTTGTCGTGGATTTCATAATTAATCTCGATTGTTGAAAAAAATTTAGAATAAAAAGCTACTGGATGGAGTTTATTATTTACTGCCATTTGTGATAATACTGCACCCAAAGCAAAGTTTGATGCATCTATTTCTATAAAAAATGCCTTGAAGAAGTCAACATAATATAAGATTAATATAGAAGTAAATTCTTTTTTTAAAACATCAAACAATGCTTTGGCTTCTTTACTCCACTTGAGTTTGTTTTTATAAGTCAAACATATAAGTGGAGCTACAACTTGAAAAAAATTCTTAATAAAGATTTGATAGCAATAGAAAAAGTTTAAAAAGTATTGCATATTTCTTATTATTTTTAGAATCTTTCAATCTATTATAGTCTAAACCTTCTTTGGATCCATCATTAATTTTTCATTAGAAATGATATATTCTAAGAAGTTAGCTTGAATAATGTGGAATATACATTTTTTTAATTTAGTATATAATCTTGCATCTCTAAGTTTTTGTAACACATGACAAACATCAACTTCATGCTCTTTTATATTTTAGAATAGATTAAGATGTCGTCCAAATAACAAATGACAAAATCATTAAGAAATTCACAAAAACATTATTCATTAGATATTGAAAAGTAATTTTTGTATTTGTG